AACTTTTGAAAATGTACCCTTCACCCCAGTCTTTTTAAAACCCCAAACAGTGGGTTTGCGAAGAAATTTTTTTTAAAAGTTTGATGGAAACCTCGAGTGCGCCCTGACCTCTGGGTGAAAAACCCGCGGGAAAGGGGGAAACAGTGCTTTATGTCCAATTGACAAAAAACCTGTGAAAAAAATCTAGACAAAAAATTGGGCCCATTTTCGGGCTGCAAAAAACCCGGGGGTAAAAAAAACAATGAAAAAAACTTTTTTCCCAATGCTTTAACCACTACGGGGTAGTTATTTTTCGCCCCGGAAAAAAAAACCTCGGGAAAACGAGTAGGGGGGGGCACATCACCGTTACAAAATTTATTCCCCGTTTTGGTTTCCCGAGGCAACGGCCCACCCAGTAAAAACCAATACTCTCTCAAAGGGTTTCAGTGATGGCGGGTTTGGGATAAAAAAGGGCGGAAAAATTCCTTTTCTGTTTTGGGCTTTCCAGACACTTGAAAAAGTGACACGAATTACAAACCCGCACGACATCGCTCTTCAATCCGGGCCAAAAGAAATGACCAAAATGCGACCCATGGGTTTTTTCTGATCCCCAAGGGGGCCCCGCAAGGGTTTACCCATGTGCCAACCCCCAAAAATTTTAAAACAAAGGGGAGATGGAACAAAAAATTGCTTCCCACACCCCACTCTTCAACAGGAGACACATTCAAAGGGGCCCCTTTTACCCTCAAAAGGGCCCAAATCCCCCCAAAAAATACCCATTTTAAAAAGGGGTCGGGGCTTATCTTTAAAAGCACGCCGAACAATAAACCCCCCAAACCTTATCATTTTTCCTGGAGCTCAAATTCAACTGTTTCCTAACCTGTTTAGGTATTCACACCCAAACATGCCCATCCCCCACATTTCGCTTCAATGGAAAAGGGTTCGGATTCGGGCTTTAAACCCAAAAAACTTCCCCCAAAGTCAAACTCATCTTTCCTCTCGGCTTATAAATTTTTAAAGTGCTGCACCTTTAACTGGCCATGACGTGAAAACACCGGGGAATTTCGGGCGAGCGCATTTTGGACAGTCGCTCAACACCGGAACGGGTTTGTTTTTTCCCCCGGGGTAACCAAAAATCGACCCACCCCAAAATCGTTCCCCAGGGATCATGGAGCCCCCCCCCGCTTTTGGGAAAAAACTAGGACGCACCCCCCCCCAACAGCGTAAACCAACCACACTCAGATGGTTTAACGATTTTATGCAGAGGAAACGCAGATTTCTTGCATGCCAAAACCCACGCACGGGAACCCCAGAGCCAATCCAGTTTTCTTTTATTCAAGGGCCCCAAATTCCCCCCATAATAAAAGATTAAAGGGGGAAACAGTGCCCTCTTTAATATTTTTACGGGATCTTTTAAACAGTTAAGAAAAAAGAAACAAATCCTTTCCATAATAAAAAAGGTTTTAAAAACAGCATACTCGCAAGGCTGTGTTTGGAAAGGGGGGATGAAACACGCCTTTCACAGTTTTAATTAGGCGAGGGGCTTTTTCTTTTTTCGGGAAAAACCGGGGCCCAAATTGGTTTAAAACGTTTCCCACCTTTTCTACATAAAAACACGTCCCTTTTTTTTTTTAAATTTCCCCAACCCTGTTTCCGATTTGCCCCCCCACGCCACCAAAGGCAGCAGATACTTTCTTTTTCAACAAGCGGGGCCCAGTTTTGGCCCCCCCTTTTCCCTTTATTTTAAAGGAGTGGTAAAAAACTTACTAAAAAAGATGTGAGGTTTCAAAATTATTTTTGTGGTTTTTTAAATGTACTTCATCAACGGCACCGCAGTTTCCCGAAAATTTGAGACTTTATTTTAAATTCAAGTAGGGGGAACTTTTCCAGGCCCCAAAAATTTATTTTTAAAGCCCTTCCAACAAAATAATTTGTTTGGTCCCGGAAAAAATCGGCAACCTTCTTAGAAGCGAAACCAAGGGACAAAAAGAAAAATTTTCCCTTATCCCCAAACAAAATCCACATAATTTTTTTTTTGTAGCTTTTTTTTAACTTACAAAAAATTTTTCCTGACGAAAAAACCTCGGGTTACTAGTTCATAAACCCTCAAAACCCCTTTTTAATTTTTTTAAAAATAAAGGCTATCAGCCACAGAAAAGACGGAAATCCCGCCTCCTGCTTTTTCCCACTTAATGCACCCCTGTAACAACAAAGTCCCACCCCCCAATTTTTGGGGGCCAAATTAATGTGGGTGCCCCCTCTTTCAAAAAAAGTAAAGAAATTTTTTATAAAACATCCGCCCCATTAAATGGGGGAAACCCCGGGGCGAACATTTCTACTAAACGTCAAAATCAGTCGTTTTGGGGTTTTGTGGGGACTCAGCCCCAAGCCGAGTTTCCTTAAAACGCATTTCCCGGCTTGATTTTTTAATCATCGCTGTTCAAAAAGCGTTCCTTTTTTCTCAAAGAAGCCGCCCCAATTCAACTTAAATTTCCCTTTCAAAGCCCGGGTCACCCTTTCAACGAAGCCTTCGATGGCGACCCCAACGGGACTTTTGGAAAAAAACTTTTAAGCGGGAAAAATTCCTACTGCCCCAGCGCTTCTAACAACTCAGCTTCAACTGTTCCCCCTCTTAACGCGTTTATTACGGTAACCTTGAAATGCTCGGCTATTAACAGAACTGTTTATTTTTGCAGTTAGCAAAGTATCCAACGTGGGCCCCCGGGAAAAAACTCATCCAGGGCAAAATCCCCCGTCTACCCCTGGAATCAAAGCCCACCAAATCAGGAACAAAACCCCTGCAAAAATGAAGCTACAAACACCACCAGAAACCCAAATTTTTCACTTATCCCGCGCAACGCGCGTCATTTCGCAAAAAAAACAAAACAAACCCAGCAAACCCCCAACAAACAAGAAACCCCAAACCCTTTGGGAAAAGACCTGTCTCTAAAAGGGACACTTTGTTTTAAACAAAACCCCCCAAAAAAAATGTTACGCCCCCCCAAGGACACAAAATTTTGAGGAAAACCCCGGCCCAAAAAAAGAGGGTTTAAAAAAAGATATTTTTTAAAAAATTCTCTCCGTTTTAGTTGTTCTTGGTTGGCTTCTTCGATGTTTTTGAGAAAAGAAAAAAAGTTAACGGCCCCCAAATCCCTTTCCCTAAAAAAATAAAAAAAGAAACCCCCAAAATAACAACAAAAAAATTTTGGAAACCGGCAAGCCCAAAACAAAACAGAATAAAAAGGTTTTCAGCAGGGGGGAAAAACCCTTTTACAGGGCCGCGAAACCCCCCTACTGGGACCCGGGCTAAAGGCCAAAAAAAAAACCTAAGCGAAAGAAAAAAAAGAAACGGGGTAACCGGGCCCCCCAGGCCCAAAAAAAAAAAACCCCAAAAAAAAAGAAAAAAAAACAAAAAACCACCGGGGTGGAAAAGTCCGTGCAGGCCCAGGACAAGCAAATGCGGGACCCCCCCAATTTTGGGGCCCCAAAGAAAGCAAAGGGGGGGAAGTTTGGGTCCAAAAAGGTTGGAAAGGGAAAGCGCTAACGTTGTGAAGGCCAAACCTATTTTATAGGCGGACGACAGCCAAAACCCCCAAAAATTAACAAAAATTAACTTGGGTAAAAGAATCCCAAAATATATTAACAAAAGATCCTTCAACTAAAGTTTATAAGAAACAAAGAAAAGAAATGGACAAAAAATCATAATGTGCCCGAAGCACATAACAATAACTTGTAAAGTAAAAATAAATATATATATATATATTTTTTTATATTTTATATTTTTTATATATATATATATATATATATTTAAAATCTGAAACCTTTTAACGTAAAATGGAAAAACCGAAAATCTATTTTATATTTTTATTTATTTAGTTACGCTGTGCTTGACAAGGCTGCAGTTTTTTAAAAAAAAATTTCAAGGTTAAAAAGTCATGAAGATAATGACCAAAATATAATCACTCTGCTGGTTTATTAAAGCTTACTACTTTATTTTGCAGTGTAAAAAAGGGGGTACTCGTAGGTTTTACATAGAGGTGGCAGTATCATGATAAGGGCCTGTTTCTACATAATACTAAATAAATACTTTGCTAGTATTTATAGTTGTTTTTAAGCCAGTTTTTAGAAAAGATTTTCATGAGAAATGATGAGTTGCTAATTAAATTGAGTAGAGCACTATTTTAAGATAAGAAAGGCTTATGTCTATTTATTTTGCATGGTGGGTGAGCTATCATGATTTGAGCCTGTTAAACTACACTGGAACAGTTTGGCTTTTTTTAGAAAAATGGTGAATAAACAGCAGTGTCTTTGTAGTTCCACAAGCCTTAAAACTTTGATTATAGATGTGTCCTAGTTTAAGGAAAGTAACAGACTATGACAACCTAATACCAATTTATTCTGCATGGTAGTATTTTTGCTGTCATGATTTAGGTGTATCTGGGTAAATATTTGTTTTATTCTTGAAACCTGAATTTCATAGTTTGACATTTTATTGTTTTTCATGCCTTTTTTTGTTAAAACCCTTCTCTACTGATTCAAGATGTTGCCTTTGTGAGCCACCTTTAACAATAATTTGTTGTCTATTTCATGCCGCCTTCTTGGATTACCTTAAAAAGAGCCTGCACAGGAAGGTCTCTATCTCTCTTTTTTTATTTTGTACAGACTTGCAGTGTCTTTCTGTTTGTCACATACAATGATTACAAATCTTCTTTTTTGTGTGTTATAGAGGAATTTACTTACAATATAAATATCTTATTCCCCTCTCTGCTTTACATGTATTCTTGTAACACACTCTAATGAAAGAGCTGCCTCCTTTATCTGAAAAATAAGACTTTATGCGTTAAAACCCTGGTGTGACATGGCATGCAGAATGATTTCAGGCTTTTCGTTTCACCCTCTGACATGCAAGAAAGGTTTTAGCATCTGAATATATAAAGTAAATATCAGCCCTCGGTAATAAAAGGAAACCCATTTGCATTCTGCCTGTTGATGTTCTAACATTTTCCTGTCCTTTCCTGTAGAGACTCCAGCTACAGAAGAAGGTAGGGTTACAATATCATTAATGACATGTTTAATATTAATGTAGGTTATCTAAAAATGTGGCTGTTCTTTAAAAAAAAAAAGTCACATTGATTTGTTTTCAGAAATAACCTTTTGCTGTTGAAGCAATCATCTGCTGATTTACTGGTTTAACGTTATGCATACTCTGGCTAGTTCAAGTAAGTCACCTTCCCAGATGGGGGAATGAGCTGCCAGTGTGGGTCCTTAGGCCAGACCCTTCACGCTAATGCCTGCTTTGGGGAGTGGCTAGTGGTTAGGGCATTGTGCGTGTAATCCTGAGTCCCACTCCCACAGACTGCCACTCTGGGTCCCTGAGCAAAGACCCTTAACCCCCACACTGCTCCCTGTGCGCCACACAATGACAGCACACTGCTTCTCAAGGGGATAGGTTCCATGCAAGAATTAATTTTGTTACTCTGTACTTGTGTGTACTGTGTGACCGTGTGACAGTGTAATTAGAGTACAAAGATGGAGACAAAAAAGATTAGTGATTATTAATAATGTTTGATATACGGGCAATAATTTTAATATGTCTGATTTGCATAGATATAAGAGTATAGGCAGTATAGGACAAAAGGTATTAGGGCATAGATGCTATAAAAATATAAATTCAAATATTGTGAGAAAACCCTGAAAATACTTTGTATAATTATTTATTGGCAATGGTGAACAAACATGGTTCTTCCAAAAGATTTTGAATTTTTTTTTTATTTTAAAATCTATTTAAATTTAAGACTTTGCTAATGTAACATTTTCCTCTGTCCTTTCCTTTAGAGGCTCCAGCTGTAGATGAAGGTACGTATCAGAAATTTTATTATGAACGCTGCGCCAAATTATGCTGAAGATGATGTAGGCTTTATCGAACATCATGCATTAAGGACTAGACAGTTTTTTTGCAGTAGAAGGAAGATTATTATTGATGAGAGCTAAGCAGTGTTTTGGATATAGCACAGGAAGCAAAAGATTAGAAAGTAAAGAGAAAAAAAATATGGTTCATAATTAAATAAGTGAATTGCTTTTATATCATTGCCTAAAATGACACATGCTCAAGTATGTGTCATTTTAGGCATTAATTGAGGTCCTACTATACTATAACAAATGTAAGCCAATCTTTGAGGTCATACAATACTATGAATAGTTTTAGCCAATTTAGATGTCATATTACTATATGTGTTATCAGTCATTTTAGGCAATAATTGAGGTCATACTATACTATGACTTATTTTAGCCAATCATTAAGATCGTACTATACTATGACCTGTTTTAGCCAAATTTTAAGGTCATACTGTGTTATGACGATTCTTAGCCAAAGTTTGAGGTCATATTATACTATGACTCGTTTTAGCCAATTATTTAGGTCATACTATACTATGTGTAATTTTGGGCAATAATTGAGGTTATAGTATGACCTCGTTTGACGTCATACTATGGTATGACCTCAAAAATTGGGTAAAAAAAATTGGGTAAAACGAATCATAGTATATGAGGTTATACTTTACGATAACCTCAATTACTTTTTAGCCCATTTTTGAGGTCATATTGTACTATGACTCATTTTAGTCCATTTTTGAGGTCATATTATACTATAAGTTGTTTAGCCAATTTTTGAGGTCATACTATACTATGACTACTTTTATCGAAGTTTTGAGATCATACTATAATATGTGTCATTTAGGTATTAATTGAGGTCACTCTATACTATGACAACATTTTTGCAATTTTTTTAGGTCATACTATACTATGACTTGTTTTAGCCAATATTAGGGGTCATACTATACTATGTGTTATTTTAGGCAATAATTGAGGTCATACAGAACCATACTATAACTACTTTTTGCCCATTTTTGAGGTCATGCTATACTATGACTTGTTTTAGCCAAGTTTTGAGGTCATACTATATGTGTCATTTTAGGCAACAATTGCGGTCATACTATACTATGACTACTTTTAACCAATTTTTGAGGTCATACTATACTAAGACTACTTTTAGCCAATTTTTGAGGTAATACTATACTATGTGTCATTTTAGGAAATAAATAAGGTCATTCTATACTATCACTACTTTTAGCCAATTTTTGAGGTCATACTATACTATCACTACTTTTAGCCAATTTTTGAGGTAATACTATACTATGACTGTTTTTAGCTGATTATTAAGGTCAAAGAATACTATGACTACTTTCAGCGAAAGTTTGAGGTCATACTATACTATGTGTTATTTTAGGCAATAACTGAGGTCATACTATACTATGACTACTTTGAGTCAGTTTTTGAGGTCATACTCTATGTGTCATTTTAGGTAATCATTAAGGTCATACTATACTATGACAGTTTTTAGCCCATTTTTGACGTCATGCTATACTATGACTACTTTTAGCCCAGTTTTGAGGTCATACTATTCTATGTCTCATTTTAGGCAATAATTGCGGTCATACTATACTATGACAACTTTTAGCCCATGTTGAGGTCTTACTATACTATGATTCGTTTCTAGATCATACTATACTATGACTCTTTTTAGCCAATTGTTGAGGTCATACTATACTATGACTACTTTTAGTCCGTTTTTGAGGTCATACTATACTATGATTTGCTTCTAGATCATACTATACTATGACTCTTTTTAGCCCATTGTTGAGGTCATACTATACTATGACTACTTTTAGTCCGTTTTTGAGGTCATACTATACTATGATTCGTTTCTGGATCATACTATACTATGACTTCTTTTAGCCCATTTTTGAGGTCATGCTATACTATGACTTTTTTTAGCCAAGATTTGAGGTCATACTATACTATGTTTAATTTTAGGCAATAATTGAGGTCATACCATACTATCACTACTTTTAGCCCATTTTTGAGGTCATACTATACTAAGACTACTTTTAGCCAATTTTTGAGGTCATACTATACTATGACTGTTTTTAGCTGATTATTAAGGTCAAAGAATACTATGACTACTTTCAGCCAAAGTTTGAGGTCATACTATACTATTTCTCATTTTAGGTAATAATTAAGGTCATACTATACTATGACAGTTTTTAGCCCATTTTTGACGTCATGCTATACTATGACTTGTTTTAGCTCATCTTTGAGGTCATACTATACTATGACTACTTTTAGTCAGTTTTTGAGGTCATACTATTCTATGTGTCATTTTAGGCAATAATTGCGGTCATACTATACTATGACAACTTTTAGCCCATTGTTGAGGTCTTACTATACTATGATTCGTTTCTAGATCATACTATACTATGACTCTTTTTAGCCAATTGTTGAGGTCATACTATACTATGACCACTTTTAGTCCGTTTTTGAGGTCATACTATACTATGATTTGCTTCTAGATCATACTATACTATGACTCTTTTTAGCCCATTGTTGAGGTCATACTATACTATGACTACTTTTAGTCCGTTTTTGAGGTCATACTATACTATGATTCGTTTCTGGATCATACTATACTATGACTTGTTTTAGCTCATTTTTGAGGTCATACTATACTAGGACTACTTTTAGTCAGTTTTTGAGGTCATACTATTCTATGTGTCATTTTAGGCAATAATTGCAGTCATACTATACTATGACTACTTTTAGTCAGTTTTTGAGGTCATACTATTCTATGTGTCATTTTAGGCAATAATTGCGGTCATACTACTATGACTACTTTTAGCCCATTGTTGAGGTCTTACTATACTATGATTCGTTTCTAGATCATATTATACTTTGACTCATTTTAGCCATGTATTGAGGTCATACAATACTATGACTTTTTTTAGCCCATTTTTGAGGTCATGCTATACTATGACTTGTTTTAGCCAAGTTTTGAGGTCATTCTAGATCATACTATACTATGACTCTTTTTAGCCCATTGTTGAGGTCATACTATACTATGACTTTTTTTAGCCAAGTTTTGAGGTCATACTATTCAAAGACTACTTTTAGCCAATTTTTGAGGTAATACTATAGTATGATTCGTTTTGAGGTCATGCTATACTATGTTTAATTTTAGGCAATAATTGAGGTCATACCATACTATGACTACTTTTAGCCCATTTTTGAGGTCTTACTATACTATGATTCGTTTCTAGATCATACTATACTATGACTCTTTTTAGCCAATTGTTGAGGTCATACTATACTATGACTACTTTTAGTCCGTTTTTGAGGTCATACTATACTATGATTTGCTTCTAGATCATACTATACTATGACTCTTTTTAGCCCATTGTTGAGGTCATACTATACTATGACTACTTTTAGTCCGTTTTTGAGGTCATACTATACTATGATTCCTTTCTGGATCATACTATACTATGACTTCTTTTAGCCCATTTTTGAGGTCATGCTATACTATGACTTTGTTTAGCCAAGTTTTGAGGTCATACTATACTATGTTTAATTTTAGGCAATAATTGAGGTCATACCATACTATGACTACTTTTAGCCCATTTTTGAGGTCTTACTATACTATGATTCGTTTCTAGATCATACTATACTATGACTCTTTTTAGCCAATTGTTGAGGTCATACTATACTATGACTACTTTTAGTCCGTTTTTGAGGTCATACTATACTATGATTTGCTTCTAGATCATACTATACTATGACTCTTTTTAGCCCATTGTTGAGGTCATACTATACTATGACTACTTTTAGTCCGTTTTTGAGGTCATACTATACTATGATTCCTTTCTGGATCATACTATACTATGACTTCTTTTAGCCCATTTTTGAGGTCATGCTATACTATGACTTTGTTTAGCCAAGTTTTGAGGTCATACTATACTATGTTTAATTTTAGGCAATAATTGAGGTCATACCATACTATGACTACTTTTAGCCCATTTTTGAGGTCATACTATACTAAGACTACTTTAGCCAATTTTTGAGGTCATACTATACTATGACTACTTTTAGTCAGTTTTTGAGGTCATACTATTCTATGTGTCATTTTAGGCAATAATTGCGGTCATACTATACTATGACTACTTTTAGCCCATTGTTGAGGTCTTACTATACTATGATTCGTTTCTAGATCATATTATACTTTGACTCATTTTAGCCATGTATTGAGGTCATACAATACTATGACTTTTTTTAGCCCATTTGTGAGGTCATGCTATACTATGACTTGTTTTAGCCAAGTTTTGAGGTCATTCTAGATCATACTATACTATGACTCTTTTTAGCCCATTGTTGAGGTCATACTATAGTATGACTACTTTTAGTCCGTTTTTGAGGTCATACTATACTATGATTTGCTTCTAGATCATGCTATCTTATGACTCGTTTTAGCCCATTGTTGAGGTCATACTATACTATGACTTTTTTTAGCCAAGTTTTGAGGTCATACTATTCCAAGACTACTTTTAGCCAATTTTTGAGGTAATACTATACTATGATTCGTTTTGAGGTCATGCTATACTATGTTTAATTTTAGGCAATACTTGAGGTCATACCATACTATGACTACTTTTAGCCCATATTTGAGGTCATACTATTCTAAGACTACTTTTAGCCAATTTTTGAGGTAATACTATACTATGATTCGTTTTGAGGTCATGCTATACTATGACTTGTTTTAGCCAATAATTGAGGTCATGCTATACTATATGTCATTTTAGGTAATAATTAAGGTCATACCATACTATGACTACTTTTAGCCCATATTTGAGGTCATACTATTCTAAGACTACTTTTAGCCAATTTTTGAGGTAATACTATACTATGATTCGTTTTGAGGTCATGCTATACTATGACTTGTTTTAGCCAATATTTGGGGTCATACTATA